GATTCTCCTCTGACAGATTTCAACACCTCTAAAAGCATAATTTTAGCTCTGAAAAATTTATTTAAGCATTAGCATTGATGAATGATGCAACATAAAGGTGCAGCAGCACTCTTGAGCCTCAAAGACAGTCGTGGAAGAAGCTGAAACAGACGCAATTTATTGGTAAATAAGAGAGGTGACCTCCCACCCATACCATTGTACAACATCCCAGGTGAAAGACAAAGACAGGCTCATCTGTGCATGAGCCCCAGCTTTGAGACTCACGGGAAGGGAAACATCCTCCTACCAGTTTTTCTCTGAGGAGTAGAACTAAATCTCACAGGCAGCTTTACATGGCTATTCATAAAGTCCCTCAAGCACAGCTTAAATAAAAGTATGCTGGTTAATCAAGCAGCATCCCCTGCCACATCCTAGGCAAGACCATCCCCTTCCACTCTTGCTGCTATTAATGTTGTGATCAGGTGAAAAATTAAAACTGTTGCATCTACTGTGCTCTTCCACTACCACCACAACCTGTTTTTCTTTCCCAGTTCCATCAGTGCATGGGTAATGATTGGTCCCTGATGTTTAAAAGCAGCCAGTAGGTTCTACATCTGCTTCTCTGAGTTAACACATGGCTATCAGCTGTCCAATAAATTTTGGGTATATCACATGCATTCATGAAGTCAAATGGGCTCTCAGGCACCAGGCCTTACCTCCTCCATGGCTGGATGAGCTCAGGTGGCATGAGGTGTGGTCAGATACTTGAATGTGATTCATGTGTGGTCCTCTTATATCTTTCAGAAAATAAAGTTTTTCACAGCGAGAAAGCTGAGTGGCAGAGCAATTTTGAATACCAACCCTGCAAATGTTCACACATGCATCTGCTGAATTCACTGCCAGGTCAGTAAGGGCTTTAAAGGCTGCCGGATAAGGGTCCTTGCTTCTTTGTCTCTACTGTCCAAGCAGCAACTCTATTCCAGCTATCAAACAGTTGAAACATACCTGTGACTTTACAGGTTGCTAATTTCCAAGGATTCCTCTCCCATTCACTTCTGCGTCATTTGGATTTTTCGTATGTTTATAACATACAATTCCTTTGTTCTCCCTTTCCTCTCTATGCTGAAAGGCCACACTTCCCAGACCAACCACCCTGAGCTCAGCCTTAACAGCAGGTAAGAGGTGGTCATCTCCCTGCCAGAGCTTGCTTTAGAATGAAAGGAATCTTAATTCCAGCATTGGAAATTAAGAAGATATTGTTATTAGCTCTCATGTTAATAATTCAGAAATTACTGCCAAATCACCGTGTTCTCTTAGTTCTCTCTGAACACAGCTGCAAACTGCATTAGGTGTTAGAGTGAATGGATATATTTCAGATGAAATATTTGTACTGAATTATTAGACTAGTCTGTATTACAAAATTACTAATAAACATTGCTTCTGGCTCAATTTAGCCTGAACTCAGTGAACCTAACTAGTGGTGAGAAATCAAAAACTCTGAAATACCTGATGAATGAATCTAACTAATCAAGAAGCCCTGCAGGAAGTAGATGCCAGGATTAATGAGCCAGTGGTTTCACCATGCCATGCTGTTATTTCTTCACATAAATGCCCTCAGATGAGATTACCTTTGTCATGAAAAGGAGAAAAGGAAGGTTACATACTTTCAACTGACAGGTTAACTGCCATACCTCCATTACTGCAAGATACATTTTCATGTGCAGAGATTTTTATTCTGAAAAATGAAAATTTAAATACCACAACACAAATTAAACCACATTTTCATTTCTAAGAGCAGGGATCATTACTGCTTGTACAATAATATAATCCATGCTGCAATGTTACCTGATCCCTTGCCTTGCACAAACTTTCTTCCCCTATTAGTAATTGCTCAGTGATTGCAATCTCCAGCAGTGGGTAAGAGCAGATTCTGCCTTCCATGGGGATTTAAGCAGAGGAAGAGAGGAGAGAGAGAGTGTCAAAGCATTTCATCAAGAGAGCAAATGAAAGGTTCAGTGACATTATCTTTATGTATATTCCTTAGACATTAGGGGTGATGTTGTATTTAGAGGAAAGCAGAATTACATGAATATGTGCCGATGTGGAAATGAATCCATACATAAGAACATAAATCTCAGTCTACTTACAGACTGGGTAGAACAGTTTAAGGCTAAAATGCACCTTAACATAAGCAAATAAGCACAGCTTGTAACAGCCCCAGTGCCTGGTGTTACCTACTTAGTCAGTAATAGGCTAATTGTTATTCAGCATAACTATTCCTTCTCAATTTGTATGGAATTCATTCATTTATTTTGATCACTTTATGTGAATGAAGAAAAGCTGTTCATGTTGTTAGATAGAACTGGTTCGTGTTGTTTAATTTTTAGCTTTTAACATCAGCAAGATTGAGACTTTATAGTAAAATAATTCAGACAAAGCGTGTAGCATATGTGAATGAAGCCTGTGGCCTCCTTCCTTCCACCCATGTTAAACACATAGGAGCATCAGCTTAGACGTTTTATGCTGTAAAGCTTCAGCGGATGCTAAGGGTACATATAATTTCAAAAATCTCCAGGACTCAGAACACAAGGATCTATTGCTATGGAAACAAATCAAATTTGTATCAAAGTTGTATAGAATCAAAAAGCTTTGCTCATAACCAGGACTACAGTTGCATAGAATATGGAGGAAAAGATGGATGTTCTAAGAGCGAGCATTAAGCTGAAGGACCTTTGTAAGGCCCCTTTCACAGAGCTGCAATGTTCAGTGTCAAGAGTTGGATCTTACAGGTTGTGTCTCAATCCCCTGCCCCCAGCCAGAAAGAGCATTTTTATCCACCATTAAAAAGCACATCTTTTTTTAAGATCTTCCGTATCACACTTTACGACATTCCTACATCATAAAGCTGTCTTGCTTATAGCAATATAAAGCAGCTGTAAAAATTATGTGCTTGTAAACAACCTTCCATACATTCGGAAGAAGTAGAGTGAGATTTGCACTCTTCTGCATGTAAGTGGAGACCTTTCGCCCTCCTGGCAGCCACACTATGGGGAAGAGAACACTGTGGAACTGGGAAGACCAAGGGACATCCCAGCTGGCTGTTCCTCCCCTTAGACCATGTAGGGTCACCAGCTGGATAGGGAAGCTGGAGGTACTCTAACCAGCTCTGCTTCATAAGCAGCCCCTGTGCCCATGGCTGCACTAAACCGATCACGGACCTCAATCTCAGAGCCAAGCCCGGGCACAGAGGGGCAGCTGCTCTGCTCAAGGCTGGGCTAGGGACTAGAGGCAGGTCTAGAAGAAGAGACAGAACACGGTGACTTCTTTTCCCAAGTGCTACTGTGGCATGGATTGTGGTATGGGACCTTGCTTTCCTATCCTAGACTACCTCAGGTGGAGCATCCTGGGTTGTTACAGCTCCTGCAGGAGGGTGTAGGGCTCTTTATTCAGGTGACTCCCAGCGGACTCACTTGTGGTCTGGATCACCAATAATTTATTCTGCTTTTATTTCTCTTTTAAATTAAATATGCATATGTAATATGCACTTTGGAGCGGGCAAGGACCCTTCTGCGGGTGCCTATGGAGTCGTGCACTCTCAGGTGTGTAATTAAGAGGTGTGTAATTGATGTACAAGGAGAAGAGATCTTAGAGTATTGCATAAAAGGCAAGGGCGAGGGGGGAAGAAGAAAAAAAGAAGCCCAAACCTGGCTGTATGATGCTTGGCAATGTACTGCATTTCTTTTTCCCACCATAACAAAGTTTGCACGGGAGTGAAGCAAGAGCTCTCTCTTTCTTGGGGCTTGCTTTGCCAGCAGGCATGCCCTCATTTCACATTCTGAAAAAACTGATCATTTCTCTACTGCCTGCCTGCCCAGGCCTCCCGCTGACCCACTCTTCTTCATCCCTTGCCCTGCCCTGCTTCACCACAGAACTTTTTGTTACTCACACTTTAAAGGTCAACCACACAGAAAGATTAACAAAAGTTTATTAATCATGAAGTATTAAAATTGTGACAAGTGAAAGGCATCAATGCAAAGTTAAGCAAGCAAACTATCCCCAAACTTGTGACAAAGGACTCAGTGAATACCACAGAAGGAAGTCCTGTCTATTTTTTTTTTTTTTGCCTGCAGTTGAAGACACCTCTCATATCTCACACGCCACATCAAAATCTATAATTCTTCATATCACATACTGAAAATGATTTTATTTATCCATTCACATTAACTTGATATAAACGTGTCCGGAAAAGTCAAGTAATATGTTTTATATTAGCTCAAACATTTATTAAGTAACCCAAAATTCAATAAATAAGCACAGACAATAAGTTAAAACATATCACGAATCGACCAGTATGTAACAAGAATGCTTTATCTACACAAAACATCCTATTTCACATCGTTTGTTCATTCCTCCAGCGGCCCTGCCCTGCGGCGGGGTGACCGGCACATGCAGGCGGGCGGGCCGCGGGGCCGAGCCGGGCCGGGCCGAGCCGGAGCAGCAGGAACGTAAATAAATGCGTAAATAAAGGTAGGGAGGATCGGCAACTCAACTGTCACGAAATCAAAGATCCGAAAAAGGGAAGCGCTCTTGCGCGCTTTTTTCTTCCCCCTTTTATCCCCTTTGTTTTTTACAAAAAGAAGCTTTTAATTTTTTTTTTTTTCTTTTTAACCCCATCACATTCGCTGTCGCTCACTAATGCTTAATCAAAATGGATTTGATTCTCTCTGGGGTCTCCGTGCCTTTTCGCGAACCCGCCCGGCCGTCCCCCGACGGCGCCCTCGCAGCGGAAGGAGCCGGCGGCAGGTCGCCGCTCCTAAATAAACCACAAAAATTATGAAAACAGAAACAAAAATGCATTTCTTTGCAAAGCCAAAGCCGGACGGGCGGACGGCGGGAGAGCCGGGTCGTGGCGACGGAGGGCGGCAGAGCCGGGCTCGGGGTGGCCGTGAGTCCTCCCGCCGGGCGGGGGGACCTGGGGGCACAGGGGGCGCGGGTGACGCGCGGGGGCAGAGGGGGCGCCATTAGGTGAAACTCATGGAGACTGTGTGCTCTAGTGCTTTGCGGCGGAGGGAGGCGATGCTGGTTCCCCGCCACACGTCGCTGCTGTCCGGGGAGCTGCAGAGCTGGGGAGAGCCCGTCACGTTGCTGGGGCCGGGCAGGGAGGCGGGCACCATGCCGGGGAAGGCGGGCTGGTAGAGGTGGGACTGCAGCCCGGCGCCGTTGGAGCCCGCCAGGCTGTTGGAGAGGCCCATGGAGTTGGGCGGCGGGCCGGCCGCCAGGCTGCACTGGGACAGGGACTGCGCCATGGCTTGCTGCCGTCCCAGCGCCGGCGGCAGCGGCAGCTGCGACACGCCGGGCATGGCGGCGGCGGCCCAGCGCGTGTCGTTGGCGTGGAAGGAGCACAGGCTGTCCCCCATGGCGGCGGCGGCGGCGGCGGCGGCCGAGGGGAACTGCGGCAGCCCCGGCGTCGGCAGCAGCGTGCCCGGGGCGCGGAACACGTTCGTGGTCTTCTTGCGCTTCTTCCACTTGGCGCGGCGGTTCTGGAACCAGACCTGCGGGCGGCAGGCAGCGACACGCTCCGTTAGCCACCACCACCCCCCGCAGCCGGGAGCCCCGGCGGGACCCCCGCCCGGCTCCCGCCGCCCCTGCAGCCTCGCCCCACCGGCCGCGGGAGCTCTTCGCACCCGCAGCCCCACGCGCGTCCCCATCACAGGCTGAAGAAACCGCTGAAACTTTTTATAATGAAAGCGATCGATTTGTCCGTCCTGGGAGGGAGACTTCAGGAGAGGAGCCTGGCCTTCCCCCGGGACAAAAAAAAAAAAAAAAAAAAAAAAAAAAAAAAAAAAAAAAAAAAAAAAAAAAAGCGAACAGTCTACGGCTCTGGGCCTCCTTGCGTGGACGCGCCCCTGCCCCGGGCCAGCCAGGAAACCCTCGCACAAAACCACCCGCATTTGGGCTTAAAAACCACCAAAACATAACAAAACCAAGCCTATAATAACAAAACCAGGGGTGATTTAGGTGAGTGGCAGGGATGGTTTGGTGGGTCTCGCCGCACCGCGGCCGAAAGCAATAGAGCCAGTCGTAAGCCGGGAGAAAGCGCGTCCACCTGAAATCCCAGGGAGCGCAGTGCCCCATCCTGCCGAATTCCACGCTCTCAGACTCCATAGGCGGACTGAGAAAGGCGGAGGCCAATTAGCGGGAATGAACGGCCGTAAGGGAGCTAAATATTACATTAATAATCGAAAAATCGCGTTCAATTATGTTTTAGGGTTAAAAGTCAAATTGCGGCTACAAAATCTTTTTATGTTTCATGGTTTGCTGGTGGTGTAAAGAATCTCCATCAGGTCTGATCGCCTAAGTTCATAGCTACGCTGCATATGCTTTTAAAATGTGAATGTTTCCAGTTGAAAACTGGTGCATGACAGATTAAAATGCAAGGAAAACCTGGGGGAGATTTTGAAAATGCACACATGACAACTCTAGAAATATATTAACCATGAGCATTTGGCAACTTTGAACTCCTTTTAAAATGCAACTAGCTCCTGAAAATTATTAATACAACAGTGAGAATCTAATGGAGGTTGGAATCTAAAAACCTACCTTGATGATATCTGCTGTTACATTAATATAGACATACTGTAAATGTATTTTAAAATATATAGCCCATTTAATTCCCCAGCTATAAACGGGTGAGAGAGTGAAAGCAATAGAAAGGGAGACAATATCACTTTTGTTTTTCTTCTTTTTTTTTTAATGTTCTTTTTTTTCTTTTTATTTCTTTCTTTTTTTTTTTTTTTTTTTTTTTTTTTTAAGAAGCCGAAGCTTTATGAAGATCTCATTGGAATCCAGCGGATGATTAATGTGAAGATTTGGTAGGAAATCTGGAGAGCTGTATTAAAGCTCAGATCTCAGGTTCATTTCGATCAGCCAGCCGTGAACTCTGGGCCGAATTCATTACACTTTAATAGTGCTGGGAGAGGAAGAAAATGCAATTTCTCATTCCATTAGAAAACTAGAAAATACTCTCAGCTTGTCCCCTATTAAGATGTGGCAGGTGACGGGACCATTGTGGGGGACACGGTCAATGGAATTACAGCACATTATTTTTGTTCATATAAAATATTGGAAGGCAAGCCTGACTGTGCAGAAGTTATTTCACTGATTTAGTTTTTATGTAAATAAAATATTGAAAGTTAATTAATCCGTGCTAGAGACTAATGATTATGCTTATTATATTGCATTTGATCGCATAATTTGCATGATTCTCGCATTGCTGCTTAATAAGCCATTCCAGGTTATAAATAATTCTGAAATTGGTTTCTAATAATGGCATGCTATAAAAAGAATGGTTTTATTACAGCAGCTTGAAAAGCAGAGCAATATCAGATGTGGAATTGGACTCCCGTTTAAGCATCAGCCAGTTTAATAATTATTTAAATGTATCATATACATTAAATACAGATCTAAAATGAGGAAAGTGGTGATTTATCCTAGCATCTAAAACCCTTAAAAACATATACAGCCGCTATAAATTAAGCATTTGGAGCATTCCTTAATCAATGTGGAGTCCATGTACTGAAAGGAATGTGTAGGCTATCTATTAACTATAAAGAAAACTGTAAAGTACTCGTATAAGAACATAAACTAATTATTATTTAATTTAAATTTGATCAAGGACCAGTGATACATCGGATTTTGAAGTAAATATATTAAATATTTTTGCCTTAGATTACATAATGTTAATCATTTTGAAGTGTTAATTAAGAAGGTTGTGTTGATCTGATTACTTTTTAAATTACAGAACATTATTGTAAAAAAAATTTGAATTGACACTCTATTAAACTGTTTTATCAGCAGTCTCGAGCTATTAGCATTGGTTTAAGATTATGCCAAGGCCATTAAAACACTTTGTCTTTCTTTCTACGAATTTCTTTGATGTGCTGTTAGAAAATAACTATTTCCATTTTATATTTTACTTCATTTACCACACTCCTAATATTGAAATTGGTATCATTAACCTTTGGGAAACCCAATAAAGTTTAATAGACCTCGTTTTCTTTTTTTCATAGAGTCAGTTGTCCAATTATATTTTATTTGTGAATCTAATTTCTATTTTAATTTAAACTAATTATAGTTCTGTGTAGGCTGAGTCAAATTGTTTTACTTTTTAAAGCAGACGTGCTTTTTCTGTCACATTCAAGAACGGAATCTGTTTTCCTTCATAAAACGTTCATTTAGGGATCTCTCTTCACGTGTCTTTATTTAGCTGAGGAGCCTGTGCTTGCCGATAGGGATTTTGAACAGTGACTGCGCTGAAGTGTTTCAGCAGCGGCAGTCCCGGTGCACTGTACTGAGCCGGGGTGTGCATCCCACAAGTGCCTCTATTGTGCAGCCTTTCATTCCTCGGGATGGACTCGCCTAGAAAGTCGCTAAAATAACCTTATGCACAAAAAAGCTGCATCTGAGCAGTCTAGCGCTTTGAACCTTCTCCCCCTTTTCCAAATTTCGTTTACATTTATTTGCCTAAATAGTTTACTACTGTCCTACTGTTCTGTGTGCATATATATATTATATATATATATGTGTGTGTGTGTGTGTGTGTGTGTATTTTAGAGAACAAAGTGCACCCTAGATGTTGAAGTTACTCACTACTCCCGCCGTTCCCAGGCATTTATAAAAGCCAGTATGGGGAAAGTCCGAGTCCAAACACAACTGGCTTTTATCGAAGTGCCTTTTTGCCAGCCGATATGCCTTCCCTCGCACCCCACCTCGGCTCTCAGGGCGGTGGGCTTTGGCGGACGCCCCTTCCCGGCGGTGCCGCGGCCATGTCGCCATCAGCACCCTGGACAGCGGCCCCGCGGTCGCCGCCGGACTCTGTTCCGGTGGAAAAGGAGCCAATCCCGGCAGGTTCGGCTCGACTCTTAGCGCCGGGCTATTGCGAGGGCTGAGACCGTTCTTCTCGGGCTGTCCCTCCCCAGACTGCTTCCAACCGCGGGTCGGGCCGTGGGGCTGAGGGAAGGTCAGCCCACGCCCCGCTCGGGACCACCGCGCTGCAGGTGGGTAGGATAGAGGAAAAGGGGACATCCCAAGGTGACATTTTTGCGGAAAGGGGAGCGACACATGTCTGATTACAAGGCTTTCCGACCAAACTGTTGCTTTCAGGGGTGGGTTATTTACCCCACCGTCGGGCTGAGGTCTGGGGCGCCCACCCCCCTCCCCGATGTGCCTGGCCTCGCCGCCGGCCGTGCAGCCGTCGGTGCGACTGGGGAAGGGCCGGCAGGCACTGCGCGGGGGCGGCTTTTCATACCTGCACCCGGGACTCGGTGAGACCGATGCGCAGGGCCAGCTCCTCCCGCATGAAGATGTCCGGGTAGTGAGTCTTGGCGAAGCTCCTCTCCAGCTCGTTGAGCTGCGCCGGCGTGAAGCGAGTGCGGTGCCGCTTCTGCTTCTGCTGACCCTGCTGCTGCCCGGCCTGGCTGGAGTTCTGGCCGCCCTGCTGGCCTTGCTGCTTGTCAGGGTCTTTGGCGCTGACGGCTAGGGAGCTGGGGTTGGATCCCACCGTGGTGATGTCCTCTCCCGGCAGCAGGGTGGTCCCTTCTACCGTGTCCGAGTTGGGAGCCATGTCTCCCGGGTGTCCCCCCGGATCCGAGCCCCCGACGCCCAGCCGACACTTGACCGCCTCCCGGTGTCCCAGCAGCTCGGCCGCGTCTTTCATCCCTGCGGAAGCAAAGGAGCGGCAGTCAGTCGGCTGCAGCTGAGCACAGATCCATCAGAGCCCCTCTCCAGTGCACTGAACTGCAGAGAGACATCCAACCACCGCCACCGCCTCCCCCAGCCGTCCCCGGCCGGCCGCCCGCCAGACCCGCAGCCCTGCTCTGCTCCACGACGCGCAGACACCCTGGCCCGGAGCGACCCGGGCGGCGGATAGAAAACTTTACATAGAGCAGCTCCTCTTCCTGCTGAAATAGCCAGTTCCCTGCCCGGCCTTCCCTTGCAAGACCAAGGGAAGGGAAGAGGAGGACAGCAAGTTTTCACAGGTTCAACTTGGGTTTTCCAGCGGAGCTGGTAGAAGAAAGAGACGGAGAGAAAGAAATAAGGCTCGAACCGCTCTGTTGCCGGGAGCGTTACCTCCCCGACAGATGCGCGGGGACCTCAGTCAGTCTGGCCGATCTTACCCCTCTCCTCCTTCCGCTTCTCTAAACAAACTCATGAATAACCATAAATAAATAGATACAGATATTTCTCCCTTCTATTTATCTTTCTTTATTTTCTTTTCTTTTTCTTTTCTCTTTTCTTTCTTTCTTTCTTTCTTTCTTTCTTTCTTTCTTTCTTTCTTTCTTTCTTTCTTTCTTTCTTTCTTTCTTTCGGGAAGAAAAGCAAACGGGCGAGCAAGAAAAGGCCACACAGAACTCCGTAAACACCATGGAGCTCATCTGTCCTAAAATAATAATCACCATAATAATAATGTGTAGGTATGTATATAAAAACTGGGGAGAGAAAAATTAAATGATCCACAACTCGCTGTAGATCTACATACACCGTAGGTCTCACTCTCTTCTTTTTTATGTTAAATCAAATTAAACTTTAATACAGTACAATTACTTTTAAAGGAATTAGCCCATTTAGAACGCATTAAGGTAAAATAAGGAACAAATTGTCAATTTCCTGCCCCGGCTTCCTCCCCGCTCGCCGCCGCAGCCGGTGCAGCCGCCGTAGGGCGGGGGGGTGCCGGGGGAAACTCACCGAGACGGGCGTCCAGGAGGTCGGCGTGAGACAGCATCGCGCACCGCTCCAGGGCGAAGGCTGTTCCCCCCCAAATTTTAGCGGCCTTAAGTTATTTAAAATAGATATAAGATATGAGATATATATATATAGATATATATATATATATAGATCGTCTAAATGAAAGAAAATTCGGTGTGTGGTTAAAAAGGGGGTCTCTTGCATTATAATGTCCTTTAGAGAGACGGGGAGGTGCTTAACACTTCAATGAACCCGTGAGCAGCTCGGCGCGGGGACCAATCAGGAGGGCAGCCTGCAAATGTCAGCGCCCGGAGCGCCCCGCTCCGCCC